GGGGTAATAAGGCACAGGAGTGAATAGATCACCTTGTCACCCGCCTGTGCGCCTCTGCAGCATATTCACTTCCATCGTGCAAGCACAGTAAACACATTTAAGACATTTCACAATCCGCTCGAGTGTATTTCTTAGGATGTTTAAGAGTCTCTAAGAGAAAGGCGGACTGCGGTATTCAACACAACAAAAATGCTTGTGCTTCATAATACTGTGGATTTCTTGCTGTGTGATCCTTGATTGACATTGTGTAGTCTGAGGAATGGGAACAAAACTGAGCGTGCCCAGAAGATGCTGGAAAGCCAGGACTCTCACTCTTTCGTATTCAGATGTATTGCAGTGTACGTGATAATTTAAAAAAAAGCTTGAGTTACATTTTTCATTTACATAAAACAGAAACATCACATACAGCTTATTCTAAAAGGTAAACGACAGTGGTTAAACATGATTCAATTTTCATCCCAGACTTTCATCCACAGCATGAAATATGGAATGGTAACAGTACACACGCGGTGACAGCTTAAGCGGTTTAGTGAATCCCCACTCAGAGGCGAACCCTCCCTCCATTCAGCTCTCCTGCTGCTCTCTCTGAATGCCGGACATATGAAATAGCTGCATACAGAGGGGAAAAGCATCAGTCAGGTGCTTCGTGTGACTGCGCACAATTGCTCTGGCGAAGTAGCAGGAGAATCCCTGTAAACTGCTGGGGGGGGAAATCCATCCAAACTGCTGAGGCTGGCGAATCTTGCAGAAGAATTAACACGCTGTGTGGACCTCTTTGAACCTTTTCTGTTCTTTACTGTGGTTCTTTATAATGGGCTGCTCCAGCCTGTAGGTTTTGTGCCGCAAATGATTGAAATTAACATTAAGGGTCTTAAGTTTTTTAAAAAAAGCTCTATGAGGGCTTTTAATTAAGAGGTCACATGTTCAAGGACCTGCCTGTTGGTTTTATACCAGACTTTTTGTTGGCCTCTGTAAAAAAAAACAAAAAGAGTATCCAGCTGGGGAAATTTAAAGGTGCTTTACTTGATAAGCGTCCAAGTAAACATCACGTCTCGCAAGCTGGAGTTAGCATTGTAATTTTGGAATAACTGGCAACGTTGCATGAAACATTCCAAGAACAGATGTCTAATTTAAGTTAACAAAGCAGAGTTTATTTAAAATAAGCCAGAGAAACCTAAGAAATGGTACATTTTAATCATTGTGGAGACCCAAGTGCAAAAAAAAAGCTGAGGAGGATAGAAGCAAAGTTCTATTGTGCAAATTCACTCTTCTCTCTTGATGCACTTTTTTACTTTATTATTTATTTCCAAGTGGGGTTTGCAATACAGTGCTTAAGTACGAAATCACCCCAGTCTGCTTACTGGAAGCACGTCTGACATAGGGGTCACAGTTGCTCGTGGATTCAGCTGAGATCTGGGGAGAATGATAGTAATGCTGTGAGAACAGGCCAGCTGTCTGACAGCTACATGCTCAGCTGCATGGTTTGGAGGTGTGGTTTTCCACAAATGTATACGCTCACTGCGTGGTTCACTCACTGAAGGCACAGTCATAACTCAGGAAGATTATGATACAATATCAGCGATTATGTTCTCTATACACAAAATTAACATGTCAGCGGTTTGGCTCAAGCTCTCAAAGAGCTTGAATGCTTTATTTGGTTTATACTCCTTCATTGCTTATTGTTACTTCCTGGTAATAAAATAGAAGATGATTTAGAACCTGTATACAGTTCATAAACAGTAGCTGGCAAACACCGCAAGTCTGTTTTAAGCTCTTTGAGGTGTTGACACTAAAAATACTTCATTCAAGTGTAATTACATATTAAATACAAAAACGCAACATCCTGTACAAATCTGCAAGTAAAGATCAGTCAGTACGTAAATTAAGAAAGAAACTACGCAAGTTTAAAAATAAGTTCTCAGATGTTTGCGTGAGTCATCCACTTTTCAACAGTGTTCAGCTGCGATTAAATAATTTACAAAAGAGACAGCTGAGTTACATTTACACCAAAAGTAAATCACTGGAGAAGCTAAATTTAATCAGCACTGAAGTGCCAATGATACTTCCCAAAGGAATATTTAAACTGCTTTAAAAAAATAAATAAAATAAAAAATTTTGGCTTGCATTTTGGGTATTAAATTTAAATTGATGTACGTTATTGCACTATCCTAGGAAAAGAAAAGTGCGTTTAAAATGTAGCAATATTATACTTTGCAGATAGTAAAACTGCAACCTTCCGGTGGACAGCACAGAGATCCAACTCCAGACTAGCCAATTATGTGTGATGAAGAAAACAGGGAATTAGGACCTGGAATGACCCTCTTTAAGGCTGCGATCTGGTTGCTACTAGAATATGTGGAGTTTTCTGTTTAGTTCTATAAGTGCTCAGCATTTTTCACATTTCATGTATTTTCTCCAAATCATGTACAGGCAGTAATGGAGTTTAGATCATCAGACTTACAGACAACTGTTACTTATGATCAGACTGCCATTAAGCCTTTTATATGAATAATTTGGGTTAAATACAATGGTTCCTAATGACGAAAGCACCCTCGTGAAAACATTGCACGGCTTTAGCGGTTCATTAGCTTGATGTACAGTAAAGTACCGTATGTAGTTACTTTGATCATTAATGTATAATTATTATTATGTACTGAATTGTTATTTTTCTGACTTACCTACAAAATCAACTTAAAGACAGACACAGGGAACAGATCTCGTTTGTAATCTGGGGGCCGCCTGTATTCAAATAACATTCAGACTGTGCATACACATGATTGATCTCCTGCTGTTACACATTTGAACCAACTACATAGTTGTTTATTGAAATCCCTGTAAGAAAATGCTATTGTTCCTTTAAACAAGGTAATCAAAGTTTACACATTAAATAAAAAGCCATATAAAAACCATAGAACTATAATTTTATACAGCTTCTTAAAAAATGAATAAGCCACTAATGCCAATCAGAGGGTTTATAGCTGTGCGTTCTTCTTGGCTTTTGTAAGGTGCATTCTGTACATATACATAAATTAACCGTAATCCCTGCGTATTACATTTCCAGAAAATGGGCCTCGTCTGTCCGTAGTGACGGAGCAGGCCAAAGTGGTCTCCCGCCGCGGCAGCAACGCCACGCTGCCGTGCAAATTCATCCGAGACCCTGGCCTGCCCCCCAACCCCAAGCTGCGGATTAAGTGGACTAAGCTGACCTCGGACTACCTGAAAGAGATTGACGTCTTTGTGGTCATGGGCTACCACAAGAAAAGCTACGGGAGCTTCCACGGCCGCGTCCACCTGCAGGGGGCAGGAGAGGGCGACGCCTCGCTGGTCATCACCGAAATCACGCTGGAGGACTACGGAAAATACAAGTGCGAAGTCATCGATGGACTGGAAGACAATACCGGAGTCGTGACACTGGATTTGCAAGGTACCCTCCAGTTATTAATATCTCACACAACAGAGACTGTTGTTTTGATGTAATGTTTTACTTTATATGTACTTCATGTATAGTATTTAATAATCCTTCTGAAAGCCATATCTCATCATTTTGACCAATTTTGTAAATATATATGTGCTGTATATGTATAACCAGCCAGCTAAAGCAGGGTGATTTAAGGCTGGAGACTGAATGTTAAAAAGCCAAAAATAATACATGAAGTTTCTTTCTCTGGCTGGCAGGACGTCTGTTGTTAGCCCAGAGTACGGGTGACGTCGGTATCCTGGCAGACGCCAGGCTAAGGCAAATTCCAGCAGTCTTATTTATTTTTATAATATTAACATCTGATCTATCACACTGCTGCAATTTGGTGTTTCTCAAGCACTGGCAGTCTGTTTAAAGACGGGATTTTCAGCTGTCTAGATGTGATACTCGTTAATTCATTGTTATTCTTGATTGCGGCATGGGCTCTGACTTATTGCCGAGACATTGGTTTGCTGCCTGACAGGCCAATGAACTTCATTACACTGCAAAACTTGGCCCATTTCCAGTCAGAAGAATCAATTCTACAGTGTGGGGGGGAGGAATTAACCTTTAAACAAAGCCTTCATTTCTGATTTGTTAAAAACGTGTTTCAAAGTATGATCAGGTCTCCCGTGGGATTCTGTGATGCTCACACACACACTCACAGACACACACTCACACACACACACTCACGGTGAGCCGGTAAAGATCACCAACTTGATTTGCCAAACAAACCATCAAGTTCCCTCCCGTCGCTCTGTTTTTCAGTCATCATTCTGTGCCCCCTTGGCAAAAAGTCCCCACTTTAACAAGCCTTTAATTCCTACAGTGTACTTTAATTTAGTGCATAATTAACAAATATCATTTTACTGGCACAAAACAAACATAAGGCCCGTTTTGTACTGTGTGCAGTGTTGTACTGTGTGTAGCCGGGGCACCCCACATTTTCAAGGATGGGGGCTCTTATCCGGCCTAGACTCTGTGTCTGTGGTACATGCTCTCTCTCTGTGGTACATGCTCTCTCTCTCTGTGGTACATGCTCTCTCTCTGTGGATTTCCTCCTGCAGTAGAAAGACATGCAATCAGCTTAAATGGCATCTGGTAATTAGCTGTAGTGCATGTTGTATGTGTGCCTGTGCTTAACATCTAGTACCCTTAACTCACAAGTAAAATATGTGAACTTGATTCCGCATTTTATTTACTTCCAAAACAGCTATTTAACGGTAACCCATGGGATTACTTTTACAAAAAAGGATGATTATATAGTGCATGAACTGCAATGGGTTGGCGTCCTTGCTAGGTTGTTCCCTGCCTTGTGCGTTTAGCTCTGAGCCGCCACAATCCTGAATGGATTGGATTTATTGGATATATTTGGTTATACTGTTAAAGATAAGCAGTTAGAAGATCAGTTACAGTAGAAGATGAGTGAATGTTTTCTCTTTTTTACTGTATCTTATTAAATAAATATATGACAATGCTGATATGTTCAAAAGAACCATACTTATTCCCATAACTCTTGACAAATAAATAAAATCTGTTTATAGAAATGACATTTACATTGCGCACTGGAAACATCTTTGAGCGTGGTAAAATGCCTTTACTCTGCTTTATTCCATGAGGTCACTCATCAAGCTGCCAAGAAAATCTTTGATTTGTGAGAAATTCAGTTTGAGAAGTGACCCTCTGCATTTTCTGAGATGGGTTTCAAAGCTACGTTAAGATGTTAAAAACAATGTGTCTGTGAATAATTAAAGTGTTACTAATGTCTCAGTATTGCAAACTAGATGCTGTAGAAACAAAAATAATATTCCCCTTGGAAAGCCGCATCACCCCCTCCCCCAGCTAATCCCTAACCCTCCCACACCCCCAACCTCTACAATTTCTAGCTCCAATAGGCTACATACTGCCCCCATCACTCTAAAAAATCTTTAATAAAAGCCCAACTTTGTGTGACTTATTTCAATCTAATCAGGTTCACCAGATCTGTGTTGTTAGCTGTCTTTGTCTCAGAATTTGGTTTCAGTTCTAGGAGTCTCATTTATCAAAGTGTGCATAGAACAATTCCTAAATGTTTGCATGTTTGCAACCAACAGTATGCACGGGTAAATTGGCATTTATCACTCGTGCATACAAACAGCCGTACAAAGTCTCACGCATTCCAAATATGACTGTGAGTACACGGCAAGACTAACTTAAATAAACGCCCTTGAACCACATATGGAATATAACTTCCACATAACAACAACACAATAGGAGAATGTGTTGCAGAAATGGAGACTGAAAATGAAGTGATTTGAACCATGAAGAAGTGACTTGAAAATGACCACAAAAAGGATTGCAGCACACAGGTCCCTCGTCCGAGCCACAGGAGGTGGCCCAAACACAAAATCAGTGTCACCTCTGGATGGTAAAATAGCTGCCGTCATAGGCGAAAAATCCCTAACAGGAATCAATCCAGATGGTGACACTGACAGTTAATTGTACCAGTCATGTCAGTTGTGTTGTAAAGTAAATATTTAGTGACAGTAATATATTATTTCTTTGGTAATGGAACTTATATGATTTTGGAACAATTTTTTCTCATTAGCATGACCTGCCTGAACATACGTTGTATGAACATCACCATATGCCTGCAAAGTTTGAAGAAGACCCATCAAATACTTTTTCAGTTATTACACTAATGAGATGTGTCTGAGGTGGCATACCAGTCCCAAAACTGTACATATTCCCTGTCTCAAGAATTCAATAAGTTACAGTAAGATTAGAGGACAATTAGTCAACATCATGAAGTAAAATGCATAAATAATATTCCCAATATTTGAATTCTGAATGTTAACTTCAGCTTCATTTCCTTACTTCCCATGCTTTGGCCACTCAGTGCAGTCTGAATAAAAATATTGTAGCATTCACTACTAAATGAGACAGATGCACATTACAAATCTTCATACTGTTAAATCAGACTGAATAAGATACTGAAAGAGCAAAAGTCCACCAACTCTCCCTTAAATAGCCCCCCCTGGTGGCGCCATCCCCCAGGTTCAGGGACTTACAGCCCCCTCAACATTCAGAGTAAACTTGTATCAGTTATTTGTTCTTTATGAACAAATATTTTAAATTAACAATCATTTTGTTCATTTCATTCACTCCACTTTAGCTACCTTCGGTGTAATGTACAGACGACTGAAAATGTCAGCACTCCTAATATAATTTAATGAACATAAAATGCATTAAAGATCTGCATCCATATTTCAACTGCTTATCCTGGTCAGGGTTACAGGGTTAAGCCCTGTAATTAGATTTAATAAATGTCAAACTTACTGCAGTAAATTAAATTTCATTATTTTTTATTGACAATAGATATTAGAAACAATCCCCCAATGAATATGTATATATGTATGAAGTTCACTCTTGCAGACAGACCTAGTTTTCTGGTGCCTGTGCCTTCAGGTACTATTTCTGCACCTTTGTTTCCTCTGGTAAACAAAGTATTTTGTCATTTCATCGGAAATATATTTATTTAGCGAGAGAGAGCATAATCCCATTGACATGATTATTACACGTACACAGCTAACAGAAGTACATGTCCGTGAGAATACAAATTCTGGATATTGGTGCAACTTTGTTTATCTTTCAGGGATTGTTTTCCCTTTCTTTCCACGCTTCGGCCGCTACAATCTGAACTTCCACGACGCCGAGAGAGCCTGCCAAGAGCAGGATGCTGCGGTGGCCTCTTTCGATCAGCTATATGATGCCTGGAGAGGGGGTCTGGATTGGTGCAACGCGGGCTGGCTAAACGACGGTTCTGTGCAGTACCCCATCACCCAGCCCCGGGAGCCCTGTGGAGGCAAAAACACCGTCCCGGGAGTGCGCAACTACGGCCTGCGGGACAAGGAGAAAAGTCACTATGATGTCTTCTGCTTCACGTCCAATTTCAAAGGTGAGTCACCCTTCTTCACTTCTGGAAGAACCTTTGCACTCAAGAGATGATGTGCAGAAAATTACCTGTCCAATGAAGGTGCAACCAGATCTGGTGAAAGTCTGTTTCTTTTATTGTCCTAGCCTTATTCACAAAGGGAGTCACTTTTTCAAAGTAGCTGTAATTCTTCAGTGCCATCAAGTCAGTATGCTATTTGGGTCTTCACGAGTCCCAATGTCATGCTCATGGTTGTGAGTCCATGATCCTTGCTGTTTGTCCTCATTTAAGTAGTTTTAATTAACAAATTCGCTGGATAAAGTGAAAATGGTTTATATGACCAAACAAACATGGCCGAACAGCCGCACTTATGTAATTTCCTGTTCGTTCGCATTAGCTAGGCACCCGAATGAACGGGCTTGTCCTCTTCCTCCTTTAGGGCGCTTCTATTACTTGATACACCCCACCAAGCTGACATACAGCGAGGCTGTGCAGGCGTGCCAGAGGGACGGCGCCGAGATCGCCAAGGTGGGACAGATGTACTCGGCATGGAAGCTGCTGGGCTACGACCGCTGCGACGCAGGCTGGCTGGCTGATGGGAGTGTGCGCTATCCCATCTCTCGCCCCCGGAGGCGCTGCAGTCCCACAGAGGCAGCGGTGCGCTTTGTCGGCTTCCCTGACAAGAAGCAGAAGCTGTATGGCGTCTACTGCTTCAAGGCATCCGACTGAGTGGAGAGAACACACACACACACACACACACACACACACATACACACAATCGACAACGGTTTTCACCTTACTAAAATAAAAAAGACAAAAACAAATACGTGGGAGTTACTCTTAAGTAGTACAAACGCATTCAAACTGTGATTTTTTTTTTATTGTGCTAGACAAAAAATATTACAAAAGGATCACTTTCATACAATAACAAACATTTTTTGTAAGTTGAAACAAATGTTATCTCATTGTTAATCATTCACAAATATTTTAAATGTAATTTTATGTGGGAGTCTATAAAATAGCTTGTTAGCAGAGGTGGGTGGGCAAAAGGGAAAATTATTGCCACTCATTGCTATTACAATACTTTACCGTTAATTGGTGTGGCATGCAATAGCTTGAAAAGATTGTTGGGACTGATATAAAAAAACAGTAAAGCTTCTCAAAGTCTGAACTGATACTTTTAGTGTAGTCTTTTGTTTTGGAAAAGAAAAGCTAGAAATGGTAAATAAAATGCCCAATATTGACTCTTTTTGCACAAATATATACTATGGCGCCATGCGATGGGTTGGCGCCCCATCCGGGTTGTTCCCTGCCTCGCGCCCATAGCTTCCGGGATCGGCTCCGGACCCCCCGCCACCCTGAATATGACAAGCTTTTACAAAAAAATCAATGGATGGATGAATAGATGGATGTAAACTACGGGGCCTGATTAAGGATGAGTCATCAGATTGAATGTGCAGTTATTCCAGAGTGCAACGTTAATTTTTACTGTAAGGTGTTTGGACTTGTTTGTAAACCGAGTACAATAAATACCAGACACATTTGCTCTCTTCAACCCATCATCTTTGCAGGGTGCTATATGGTATAATGTACTTTTATCGTATATTTGAGTATTTTGTCAGAAATATGGAATTATGTATGTGGACCAAACTGCCATTTTTCTTTTACAATAACCTTTGGGTGATCATACAACAAGCCATAAACAATGTTGATTAGCTATGTGCATTTTTTAAATAGGATAACACAATACTACCATATTTCTTATATGTTTTAAGTAGTTAAACTATTAGATACATGCAGTTCGTAAGTTCTTACTTTCCTCAAATTATATATATTTTTTAAGTTTTTGCAGGACTGTTTGACTCCCAGTATAGTTAAGATGCACTAAATGGTCGCTAGAACAGAAATAAAGAAGGATTTCTACTTAGCATTCAATAGCCATGTTCATTTGCTCCAAAACCAGAGTACTTGTTGACCAAAGTTGCCCTGCCAGTCAGAACTTTGCGTCCAACGTGCAAACACATAAAAACGCCTGCCTCTAACTCTAGACCTCTGCACAGTGCTGTATTGACAAGCAACCTACTGCTAACGAGTGATCTTACACGACCCAATGACTGCCAAATGCGACCGCGGCCTTTTCGTGCTAGCAGGGAAACTGGCACAGGAACACACAGGGGTGGGCTTTTCCATTTCACTCGAGGTCAGATGAATTCATCTGAAGAGCAAATATCCAGAACTCACTCCATGTTTTAATGTTCTTGAGATGAGACCACCAATGACCTACAGAAAGCTTCCTTGTTACAGTACTGGGAAACAAAACTTACTCAGTCCTCACGTAATCCAACAAGGAACCTTTGCTAAATTACCAAAAATCACAATTCAGACAAAGGACTGAGTTTTTGAAATTTGCTCTTCATTTGAGGGATTTCAAATTTTTAGTGTTCAGACCCTAAACAACAGGAGTACTGCAGGGAACAGTTCAAGGGCCAGTTTAGCATTCCTCTCAGCTGTTTTGTGAACGGTCATTCATCAGCTTTAACAGTAACGAAAAAGACAATGAGAATATATGTAGCAAAGCATTCCTCCTTTATTTCTGTACACAAAAACAGGGGAGCACATGCCCCCTTAAAAGTATCAAGTTAACTCTGAGTAGCTTTCTTGTGATATATAGCTATATACTTTTAATTTCTATGAAGGGAGTAACAATTATAATGCAAAATTCTTACAAATTGTAAATTAACTCAGGGCAGTTACCACAACCAACTGCTTGGCAGAGATAGTGTT